CACCTGTCCTGGCCCCCGCGGGCAGCCTCCAGCCACTCCTGGAGCCCGGGCAGCAGCTGTTGCAAAGCATCCCTCGCCTGCCAGCGGCCGAGGCCCAGCCGGTAGCACGGAGCTGCTGCCCGGCCAAGCCCCGCGTGCCCCACCGTCCTGCGGGCACCCTGCGCCCCACACGCGGCAGCCGGCCCCAAGCAGGGCACCTCCCGGGGGCTTTTCCTGCATCCCCTGCGGGGCAGGGACTGGCACAGCTGAGCGAGGCGGGTGCAGGATGGCTCCGCTCTGGGGGCACTGTCGTCTCCACGGGTCTGGGGTCTGGGGGGGATAGCTCAGGGCAGTCATCGTTCAGCCTGGATCCCTGCCCCGGGCTGAGCCACCCCCTCGGCGGTGGGGGCAGGCCTGGGCTGCCCTGGTGCACCGGGGCACAGCGGTGCCTTGCCGGGGGTCCGGCCCAGCCCCCACTCCCCCCAGGCCTGCAGCCAGGCATGGGGCTCGGACAGCCGTGTGCATGCCCCCGTAGCTCATAGAGGAGCTGCATTAGCCCACCCCAGCGGGCTCACGGCCTGCCCCTGCCCGGGTGCCAGCTCAGCCGCGGGGAGGGGAGATGGGGGAAGAGCCCCGGGGCTCCCCCGGGCAGGGCGGGTGGCGGAGGGAGCTGGCAGGCAGAGGGTTAACCGGTGCATTCCCCCTCGCAGCCCCCCCAGGGTCGGGGGCCTGGGATATGTGACCTGTGTAATGGGGACAGCTGCTCCGGCCCCCCCGCCTGATCCCCGGCCTCCGCACTCACCGCACATGTGCTGTCACTCAGCCAGGCTCCAGTTTTATTTTAGCTCCGCTCCAGCGCCTGGTTCCCACTCCCAGCCCCTCAGTCCCTGCCCGCGGCACCGACCAGCCCCGCGGCCGCCCCGCCATGGACAGCGCTCTCCTGCTCGCCCTCTGCCTCCTGCCGCCCCTCTGGGCTCAGGTAAGGGGTGCGCCCGCAGCCTCGGCGCCCGGCGCTGGCGGGTGCGTGGGCTCCGTGCCCCGTGGGAAAGGCGCCGTGGACTGCCGGGCACTGGGCATCTCCGTTCCCCACCCAGAGACACGGAGGGGGCTTGGGAGCGTGGCTCGGCCCCATGCCAGGCTGTGAGGAAGGGGCTGCAGGTTGGCAGAGGGGATGGATCTGCAGGCTGTGCCCGCATGCCCTGGGTGGGGGGCTGGGAGCAGACAGCTAGGGGAGCGCCCAGCACCGGTCCCTTGAGACCTGTTGGGACCTGCCGCTGTGGTCCTCACCTCCTCAGCGTGCCCAGATCTCCCCCTTCTTGACCCTCCCCGTCCTGGTTCTTGTATCCGGAGGTCCCTGCCTGCATGGTGCCTGGTCTGGGGGTGCTGGGTGGGCACCAGCCTCGGCACTGGGGAACCCCTGCAGCTGGGAGAGCTGGGCTGGAGGAGGGTTTGCCCCCCTGGAAACCCACAGTCCCCCAGGCAGCACAGGCCGAGCAGAGCCAGGTGCTCTCAGGGCAGGCTGGGCCCGGGGGGGAGCAGGGGCGCACCCCCCTGCACGCCCACGCCATGCACACGCATGCCCTGGTGGAGCCATCTGCACACACCTGCCTGGGCTGAGCAGCTCACGCCCTGCACACGCGGGCGCCGGCTGTACAGCCATCTGCACGGACCCATGCACACACCTGGGCCGGCATTGCACGCGCGTGCCATTATCTGCATGCATGCATGCAAACATGCCTTCACAGGCGTGCGCACACCCCCCAAATGCCCTCTCTTCCAGGTGGGGGTTGGAGGGATGCAACTGAGAGGGCACCGTCAGCTGTGGGCGTGCAGCCGGAGGAGCTCTGTGGTACCCACAGGAATCTGGGGTATCCTTGGGGATCTGCTGCTAAAAGGGGGGGACTGGGGTTGCGGGGGTCCTGGCATGCTCATGCTGGGATCACAGCCCCGCCCCTCTGCTCCGCCCGGCGCCGGGGGTCCCGCGGTCCTGCCCTGCCTGGCTGGGAGTCAGCGGGGAGCCCGTGACAAGCGTGAAGCGTGGCAAATGCCACCGTGGGGCTCGGCCTCGGCCTGCGGGCGGGCATTTGGTTCACATTAGCTCCGCTCCGGCCCTCTGCCCCCCAGCCCCGGGCAGGGGAGTGAGGGAGGGGGGCCGCAGCAAGCGGAGACATGTGCATGTCGAAGCCCCTCGCCACCGGTCGCCTTTCATCCACGCTGACCTACGGCCCCTCTGCTCTGCGGGTGCCCGAGCCTGACCCACGACCCCTGCTAGCCCGGCCCTGCCCCCCCCAGCCGCTCCGTGGACGTCCCCACATCCTGGCCCCGCTCTGTGCTGGCTGCAACGTGGCCGGGGACAGTTGAAGAGGCCAAGTCAGTGTGGCTGGCCCGGTTGGCAGGGCCCCCACGCTTGGGCCTGATCCAGCATGCATTAACCCCTTCCTCGCCCTGCTCAGACGGCAAGGGAGGGTGATGCTGGGGATAGGCAGCCCCCAGGGTGGGGGGTGCGGGTAGTTCAGGGGCCTGGGCACGCGAGAGGGCCGGGGGCTGCCTTGGCCAGCTGCTGTGGCCGGAATCCAGAGTGGGGCCGAGAGCATCCCAGGCACGCGGGGGGTGACCATCGGCCCGGTCAGAGGGCACGGGCTAAAAATGTCTCTGCTCTACTGGGCTAGGAGTCATCTGCTGCAGCCAGCACCCCCTCACTGGCTCCCAGCTCTGTCCCCCAGTTTGGCCAGCTCTGCCGGGCTGTGCTGCCCCCATCACCGGGGCTGGGATGCCTTCCCTGCCCTTGTCCATCACAACAGCCCTGGGAACCAAGGGCTCAGCCTGGGCTCCCGGCTTCTCCGCGACCGTGGGAGCGCGGGTTGCAGCGACATCAGGGCTGTGCAATTCTCCCAGGCCCAGGGAGAGCATGTCTGGGCTCCGGGCCAGCTCTCTGCACCGGAGGGCCCCGTCCCAGGGGCTGGGGGCAGGCTGGGTCAGGCCGGGTGGAGCTGGGCTGCTGCACAGGGGTTTGGTGGGTGCAAGAGGAGTCCAGTCCTGCTCACAGCCCCCGGATCCCCAGTGAATGCCCCTGGAGCTGAAAGGACAGGGACCAGGGCAGCTAACCCCTTGCCTTGACCCATGTGCATGTGGCAAGGAGGGACATGGGTGGGTGTCCTTTGGGGGACCAGGCGAGGGGCTTTGGGCTGGGAGTGCCTCGCTGCAGGGCCCTTTCTCCCTGGGCTGGGTGGTGCCGTGGTTTCTGCCTGCAGCAGCCCAGCTCTGCCCTGGGTCACGGCGCAGCTGCTCAGGGCGGTGGCACGTTCCTCGTGCTCACCACAGGCCCTGCCTGCTCCATTTATAGCCGGTGCGGCCGGCCGGGCTGGCCCAGGTCCCCCGGGGCCTGCGGGAACCCGCGATGAGCACATTGGCTCCTTTCTGTGCCC